TCGTCTGTCTCCCATTGTTGTCATTGCCTATGGGGGGGCGTGACAAAATGAACAGGGAGGAGTAGTGACTAAACTTATTCCCTACAGACATTTTGTCACGGAGTAAACAGTCTGATATATTCTGTGAACACCCAATGCCTTCTTCTAAAAAAAATAAAATAAAGAGTGCAGGTACTGAGTAAGGTTAATAACTTGGTCTAAATTGTGCTTGTACTGCCTAAATAGATTTAACATGTACACAGGGATCAAACAACCAATTTCCCTTCAGGATTCACACACACAAGTTCCCAAATGAGGAGTCATTTCTTTGGCTTGTGTGTCTTAGTGTTCTGTAAAGTTTACATTATTCGGAAATCTTTGCATTCCAGTCTCATTTACACAATGATAGTATTCAGACATGGTTGCAATTTTTGGCAAGAAATTGTAATATAAACATCAGTGTACACATTTAATGCAGGTTTCTGACTCTCCATCGGAGTGACTCACCGTGTTGAGCAGCCGACTGCAGCAGGATCTGTCCAGCGTTCTGGGACTGGAAGTAGGAATGACCACCTGTGGAGTAAGTAACCACCCCAGCGGAGTTTCCCCCCGGGCCAAAAGTCAAGTAGGAGGCAGGGTTGGCATCGGGGGGGTTGGGGGTGAGGTAGGGGGAGGGGGTGAGGTAGGCCATGTGGGGTAGAGCTGCCTGAGGCTGGTGCTGGTTGGTGGAGAAGGAGGTCTGAAACTGGTACGAGAGACTGTTCTGCTGGGAGGACGTCTGGTAATCAATTTTATCCGCCAAGTCGAAAAGTGAACTGAGGTAAAACACAAAAGGGGAGTTTTGTCATCACGCACAAACAGATGAAAGTTAATGGTCAAAGCTGCAGGAACACACTAAGAAGCATCAGAGTAAAACAGACCTAAACAGGATCACTGTCCCCGAACTGGGCTCCACTGCGTGTTCTGTTCTTAACCCTGTAATGCCTAATGCATCATATCTGATACATACGGTTTCTGAAATGTTTTGCATCCGACACCTTTTGCATAATTTAAATGGTAAAAACTTTGCTCAAAATCCTATAGTACACAATCAGATATACCTGATAACAGGGGGCAGAAGACTACACAAAAAATAATCTTGACTTATTGTATAGTAATAAATTATAATATCAAAAATGTATTTCTGTTTTTTCTTTTAACATTTTGTTAAAAGGCCAAATAAGGAATTCAAATTTTAAAAATGCAATTTTCTGCTTTTTTAAATTCTTGGATCAGGCTTTAAAGGGTTAAAGCTGTGATATCCAACTTTATTTGCTTTGAATTATCTAATCAAGCTCTCTGAAATATTTCAAATCGACTCCCTACGACTACAAAGGCTGACCTGGTGTCGGTCTGAACAGACTGGGAGTCACAATGGGCCACGGAGGAGCCCCCGTCCAGGCCCTCCAGGAAGAGGGGGGGGGTGTGGGCCGGGGTGTTGAGCAGCGACGGCGTGGGGCTGACGGGGTTGTAGGCCGTGGCTAAAAGGGGGAGGCTGGCTCTCCGCAGAGGGGGGGGGCTGTGCATGGGGCGGGGGTGGTACTCCGGAAAACCCCCCTGAGAGGAAAGCTGCTGCTGGCCCATCTCTCTCCCTCTGCCCTGACCTTAGAAATAAAAACAGGCGAGATAAGAGTCACTTCAGTCTGGTTTCAATTCTGGGTTAAACCGATTTTAAAGCAGAGAGATAAGAAAATACAAGCTAGAAAGGAGGGAACACTAATATCTAAAATAGGAATTTAAGAGAAAAAAAATGGCATTACATCATGATTCAGTCTGCTGGAGCTGTTTGTTAGATAACCTGCTTGTTTTTGTCTCATCTTAAATCTGTGTTGTCACAACAGATTTGAAAACGTCTTAATCTCAGACACCGCATTAACCAGGGAGCTGTGCTCAGCAAAAACTTAAACCTTGTACACAAGCTGGGTTAGGGTTATAAAACCCTAAGCTGTGTTAGGGGTTTGATACCAAATAAATGTAGAAGACCAGAGGCCCCCTGCTTGGTCTCCCTTTGCCAAAGTCTGAACAAACCAAACTAAAGACTGTTTTCTGCTGATGACCAGAATGTGGGAGGACATACAGCTTCCCAACACAGAAAAGTGGAAACAATTCCCTCATTAAGAGAAACATAAAATGGACCCCCCTCCAAAATAAAATAGAAATTTGATAAAACCCACCAACAGAATGCAGCAATAGTGACACCACAGAGCAAACGATTGCTGTATTACTTCCTAATAAAGATTTTAAGATATGACGGCAAGTTTGAGCACAACTTGCAGAACTTTTTCCATTTCGAAAAAGCAATTGTGACTCTTAAATTGCATTTCAGAAGGTGTATTGTGCACCTGGGCTGTTGAGGCTGGCCAGCAGGGAGCTGAAGGAGGGAGGGGTCTGGGTAGAGAGGGCAGGGAAAGAAGCCACTGGAGCAATCTGAGGTACCGAGGCAGCAAAGTGTCCCGAATAATCCGAAGCTCCTTTTCTAAGGAGACAAGTAACCGACAGTAAATCACAGGTCAAAGCAGCCGGAAAACAGAAGAGCAAACGAGTCAGACAGCAACACACCTGTTGGACGCCAGTGTGGGGAGGGCGGGATTGATTTTGTGGATGGGACTGCTGCTGTATTCAGCTCTTCCCCGAGAGGAATCGGCTTTAGCTGTGATGGAGCGCACTTTCCTCCATTTAGCTCTGCGGTTCTGAAACCAGACCTGGAACAGAAACAGGATGAGCCATACAGGAGAGGAGGGAAAGCTCCTTCTGCTAGGGTTGTCAAAAGTATCGACACTCAAAAAAGTATCGATACTAAAATGTTGTATCTGGATACGATACTCATTTTCAAAAGTATCGATACCACCGCTCCTCCCTCCCTCCCTTAATCTTTCGAACACTTAATTAAACACTATCCATAATGTTATGTTAAAACAGTGGATGTTAAATAGGTTTGTAGAATAAGTCCAAACAAGTTTAACCAAAAATTATTTATTTCTCACAATTATGAAGGCTGGAGGGTTAGGGTTATTAATGAGGGCCACCAGTCACAATAACATTAGTAACAGGTCAGTTTGAAATGAAAGACACTAACCTGTCAAAATTCAGTTAAATTTTGGGGTCTTTGTTTTTATCCTTGTGGTATCAAAAATGGTATCGAGTATTTTCCTGAGTATCGGTATTGAGTTTAAAATTTTATTATTGTGACAACCCTACCTTCTGCAGGCCAAACATTTATCATCCCTTTAAAAAGGCGGATCACCAAATAAAGAGCTTAATTAAGATTTCTCAGAAGAGTATAAAGGAGGACGATGATCTGACCATTATTCTCTGAGGGGTGACCCCGACCGAGGCAGCGATGACTTTCCTCTTCTCTGCGTCGGGATAGTGGTCCTCCTGGAAAAGGGCCTCCAGATGCTCCAGCTGGTCTACAACGAAAGACAAGCGCCTGAAGAATGAAGCTCAGTTATGTCCCAGGCACTCCACGGAAATTAAATGAAAGATTTAATTGAGCATGTGCACAGATTTTAGTGCGTGGGACATCAATCTGAGCACATGCTCATTTCAGTTCTGTTTAAATGGCACCAAATCACAACATTCATCTCACAGCTTTCCAAACAGAGCAGAGCAGGCTCCGAGTTATTTACAGAAGCCCAATAAAAGCAGCACTAGGCGACACAGGGAAGGAAAAACTGCCTTTAAACGGCAGAAACCTCGAACAGAACCAAGGGGGGGAGAGTGAGAGAGAGGGCCAGAGAAAGAAAGAGAGAGGGCAAGAAAAAGAAAGGGCAAGAAAGAGAGGGCAAGAGAAAGAAATGGGAAGAGAAAAAGAGAGAAGGCAAGAAAAGAGAGAGCAAGAGAAAGAGATAGGAAGAGAAAGAGGGCAAGAGAGAGATGGGAAGAGAAGAAGAGAGGGAAAGAAAGAGATGGGAAGAGGAGGGCAAGAGATGGGAAGAAAAGAAAAAAAGAGAGAGAGAGAGATCAGAGGGGGGCAGTAGACCACGGGTGTTGACCCATTGCTCGCCTGTGCTGTAGAGGGTGCGGGTTTTCTTCTTTGGCGCGGGCGGCAGCGGGCAGCCCCCCGGGGCCTGCGGGCGGGGGGGCGGCGGGCCGAGGCTCCGCCCCCTGCTGCCGCAGCAGCGAATCGAGCGCCGGGCGGAGAACACCTGACCAATCTCCATCTGCCAGGAGACAAACCAGCAGCCCCAGGGTCAGGAACACACTCAGACCCACTCATGGGGGCCAAAGACCTCCAAAGTTTCCCCATTTGGGTATAAACAAAATATAAATGCATTTTTAAAAAGCCAAACTCCCAATTAAAAGGCTCTCACTCACATATCAACACCACATTTGAGAAAGCTACAAACTGATATTTAACAAAAATAAATATATATATATATAAACTTTAAGGCCTGATCCAAAAAAATTAAATAAAAAAATATAAAATAAAGAGGTGATAAAAAAAATGTTTCTTCATGGTCAAGTTTTGACCCTTAACAAAAATATCACAGAAATAAATGATGAATATTTATAATAAATTACTGTGCAATAAGTTGAAACCATTCTTCTGTAGTCTTTGGTCTGCCATTAAATGATGCAAAACATTTCAGAAACCATTACCAGCATTATTGGGTTAAAATAATTAAACTGATCACATCCGAGGTCAATAACTGGTGATTTAAAAAGCCAATTTCTCTTAGCCCAACTTTCATCGCATGCATCAAAATAATGGATTCTTAATGGCCAAGCTGAGGAAGACTGACCAGGACTTTCTGGTTTAATGAGGCTTAATTGTTATTTTACCCAAATGTGGAAACTGTTAGTGTCAAAAGGAGGATTTGTGGCTGTTCATAAGACATTATCTGTGTTTTGTTGTTTGTTTTTTCCCCAACAAGTCTTACCAGTGTACATTGAAAATTCTGAGGGGAAAAAAAAAAAAAAAAAAAAAAAAAACGATGTTCACCTCATAACTTTACCGCTTCCTGGAATAACACGTGTTGCAGAAGTGTGTTGGGAAGCTGCATAATCTTTAGATTTACTGCATCACACAGAGCTCACTGGCATTTTCCCAGGTGCCACATTAATAACACAGTGAGCTGTAGGTGTGCATCATTTCATGGCAGATTAGGTTTAATTATACGTGATGACTCAGTTATCAAAAAAATGTTTAAAAAAAAAAAAAAAAAACCTGTTGAGATACATTCATCATGAGCGTAGTTAATCAGCTTTTTAGTTCCTCCAAATAAAATCTACAAGGAGCTTGTGTTAAAATGTGAATCAACAGCATTTCACAACATTTTCAAATGGCAAGATTTAAATAAATAAAAAGCAGTGTGAATGTTTCAGATTCAGTGAGAATCAGGGAGGAAACCTCTCATCTCACCTCCAGAGGCTGTGGCTCCTGCTGGTGGAGGCTGTGGGCCAGAGGGGAGCTGTGGGGCCGTTTGGTCCCCTGAGGCTGAGCTGGGACGGGGGCCGAGGGCTGGGAGTACAGCAGAGAAACCGGGGGGCAGAACAGCCCGACCCCCCCGACCCCCCCGAACCCCAGATACACGGAGTCCGACAGCTCACAGCTGCTCCTCAGCCCCACGCCGGCCCTCTCCTCCAGCCCCACAGCAGGAAGATCCTGGCTTTTCCCGCCATCGTCCGGCTTCCCCTCGGCCTCCTTTGCGACTCTCCTCGGTCTCACCGGCTCGTTCTGCTTCCTTCCACGCCTCTTCCTGCTCTTCTTCTGCTCATCTCTGGCCTCCAGGTCGGGATTCTTTGCCTCTTTATTCTCCTCCTCGTCTGCCATCTCTTTGTTTTCCATCAGGACATCCTGGACCTCTGGCCCCCTCTCCGGCTTCGTCTCTCCTTTCGTCAGTTCTTTCTCCAATACAGCTTCGTTTTCCATTTCCTCCTCTTCCCCAATCTTCTCTCCACACTCCATCTCCTCATCATCCTTCTGACTAAGCCCATTCTCACTTCCCTCGGTCTTCTTCCCAGCTGTCTTCTCGGGGGTGCTCTTGGTTTCCAAATCCTCTAGTTCTTCACACAGGAGGTTTTGACAGTCTGAAAAAGGGTAGGAGCAAGAACAGTTTTTTTAAAGCCGCCCCTCCGTTTGTGTACCAATATATGCTTTTTAAATTGTACATCTGTAAATTATGCAATTCTCGGGTAAGTCCACCTGTTGAGTTAGTTGCTGAGGTCCACAAAGGTCAAAAAGTACCCTTTTCATTTTTGTTCAAGGCAGTAAAAACCAATATATACTTTTTAAATTGTGCATCTCTAAATTATGCAATTCTCGGTCAATTCCACCTGATGAGTTTTTTGCTGAGCTCCACAAAAGTCAAAAAGTACGCTTTTCATCTTGTTCAAGGCAGTAAAAACCAATATATACTTTTTAAATTGTACATCTCTAAATTATGCAATTCTCGGTCAATTCCACCTGATGAGTTGGTTGCTGAGCTGAGGTCCACAAAGGCCAAAAAGTACGCTTTTCATTTTTGTTCAAGGCGATAAAAAACATAGGAAAAATAAAAAAGTATTTTCTACTTCCTGAGTCATATGTTGACCTCCAGGCGGAACTAGACCCGGTAAACTTCGCGGGCAGCTGGAGCCGCACGAGCTTAATGAGTGTCCCAGCTGTGCTCACCTGTCCCTTAATTAACTCCGCTAGGGCTAGCTGTGCTACACAAGCTAACTTGACCAAACACCAGGTCGTGAATGTTAATAAGAATTAAATTATCTCTGTGAAGCCGAGCAGATGAGAGTCCCCCCCCCCAGTAGGGACTGTGGGCCTGAACGGAGGACTTTTAAAGTTCGCCCAAAGCCAAATAAGTAAGGAGGCTCCTCGTTGCCCTGCGCGTGAAAACGCCGAAACGAGCCAATAAGCCAATAAAACAATTAAGTGTCCTTACCAAAGTCTTCAGCCATGGTCTCATACCACCTTCAAACCAATAAACCCAATTAATTAAGCCACACGGTGTATGAGTTGAGGAGCTCCAGGCCCGGGGCTTAATGAGGTTGATTGATTGATTGATTAGCTGCCCGTGGCCCGGCTGCGTGACGAAGTGATGACGTCAGGCGTCGAAGTGAAGCAGCCAATCACCGAGCAGATCCTGCTGAGACTAAAAGATGGTTTTTGAGAAACAAGTTCATCAGTTTTGAATGAAAAGAAAAAGACATCTTCAGTCAACTCATGTTGGGTCTTTTTGTTTTAGTTTCACGAGTAAGAAACAAAAAGGTATAACACACACATGTTTTTAGTGATTTAATTTAATTGGATCTATCTATCTATCTATCTATCTATCTATCTATCTATCTATCTATC